AGAAGAAATGCATAATATAGACAGTTAACAGATGTGTGAGACAAAGGAATATTAATAACGGAAATCATAAGTCACAAGGAGTGGATGCATCTGCGCCACTGAGAACGATTTTGAGCCATGTCACCAATTGTTTCCAACCATTGGTTTTTACCGTCTCGAGGACCCCAACCAGTCAGGAAGTCTACACCTTCCTACGTGGCTTAGACTAACTGTTGTGGATTTCATTGACTGGTGCCATGTTTTCGTTTGACCGCCGCTAGCTCTTTTCCAGCCTGGCCCTATATCAGCTAACATTGCCCGTCGAGGAAGGCGATGACTAGGCATACGTAATACATGTCCCAACCATCTCAGTCGATGTAATTTCACAGTCTCGTCGACTGATTTCCCCTCCAACTCACCTAGCACTCGACCGATGGCCTAACCTCAATATTGCTCACCTTATTATACCACTTCACGCGAGAGATAGAACGCAGACACCTATGATCGAAGACAGCTAACCTTTTCATGTCTTCCGCTCTCAATGGCCAGGTCTCACAACCATAAAGGAGGACGGAGCGGACTGTTGAGCAGTACACACGCCCTTTGGTCGATAGTCGGATATCATGTCTACGCCAGAGACGGCGTAAACTGGCATATTCGAACCTAGCCCTCTGTGTTCGTGCTGATATTTCGTCTGAGATCAACCCGTTGGGGCTGATGGTACTTCCCAAGTAATTGAAGCGGTCAACGTGCTCTACCACTTCACTTCCTATTTCTAATCTAGGGGTCAGTGAAGTCCAATCCTGCAGCATCATCTTACATTTTACAGGGGCGAATCGCATGCCAAACATACGAAGATTGTTGCACAAGGTGTTTAGTAGACTGCACTTTGTCAGCGTCCTCGCCGACAAAAAACTTAGATACGAAACTTAATATACATGAGATTTCAAAAACAATATTATTCAGGAAATCAAGGAAGCGATTAACAGACAAAAGGATAAGACTGAAAACAGAATTCAGGAACTGCTGTAGCGTCTGATGTAGTAAAACTTAGAGGAGGATAATTTTACTTCCCACGTGGAACAAATAGAAATATACAGGGAGAATTTTTAGTAAAAAGTAGTAAAACTTCTGGATTTTTCTACATAAGTCAGGGTATCGCAAAAGGATTGGTCACCTCTCCTAGATAATCTATAGTAAAATAACCCATTTGTATCCACTTTCAGTTTGATATCAATGACCTCTTGTTATGTTTACGTGCACACAGTACATCCACCAGTAGTCAATTAAGATAACCGGTTGGTTTTTAGCTGATTGAATGTCACATGTGGCAATTATTGTTTTTTTTTTAAATGAGAGAGAGTTTGTCGTTCCGTCCTGGTATCTAATTCACTGTCCACCTGCAATAGTAACAGGACTATTATCACTTCCATTGGTATCCGGCGGAACTAGTTGTTTATATGCTAGCATGACTGAATGGAACAGTATCACTGCCTTCCCCGGTATTCGACAGTCTATTGATCACTGGATAAAGTCAATTTGTTTCATGCTGACTTCGTAGTGTACTTATTGGTTAGTTTGAATGTGCGCTGCTACTGGCTGTTGTGTCTTAGTTTTTAAATGAGGTGTTATTTAATGAAGATGTTCAAATGGAAACAATGATTGTATAGAAAGGCAGAAGAGTGTCGTAGCTGAATATGGGTGAATAGATAATTGTAAAGATGACTCTCAATGGTACAGGATACAAGCTTCAGACCTGTATCCGATCAGCGTCGGATCGGTTCGATTCCACCTGCTTGTTGTTTGAGCAGATCACTGTATTCCATTGGTCTTGTGAACTTCGGGAGATTCAGTGCAATTCATCATACAGCTGGCAACAACTTTCGTGAAATTTGACATATTTTGGACAGTATTCGAATCTATTATCTATTTCCCATGATAATGCGACTTTCGATGCTTCATTTTTCAGAAAAGGAAGGTTATTAGTGGAATATGTGTTAACAGGGTCACAAATCGATGTCGATAGACTGCATAATCGAGGCTGTGTTTGACAGAGTTCGAGTGGAAAATTTCGGAGATTAAATTTGCGTTCTCCACCAGAAAATACTGAATGCCACCCAAAGTGTGATTGACTGAGTGACATTATTGGATCACATGACTGACTAAATTTCATGCCTGGACGGTTCTAACCAACACGATGTGTCGTACATATGCGTAGATCTTGTACGGCTGCATTACTCATCTCCACATAATGAATGATCTCATCAATTAGTGTTGTACAGTATCACATGAGAACATTCTAGGCATCTACGTAGGCGGTATCCGTTACTCACAAGGTGTGTATGCCAGGCAAACAGCGCCCATGCACAACGACAAGATGAGACAAGGTAAGAAGGGACTTGCTTGCTGATATTAGAAATCAGAAATAAGTGGTCAATTCGGCGACATATGCCTCCAACTAGTGAGACAACTAGGTATATATGAGATAGGAGAATAGACAAGGGACAAACAAGATCTATTCGTAGCTCTTTTTTAGCACACCTTGTAGACCATCAGGATGACGTTGATGCTAATACAGTATTTAAAGAGATTTCTCGCATTCCAACTAATCATAATTTTCCTTTACGAGTTCGTCTACTACATACAGCTGAAGCCATAGGAATCCACCCGAAGAAGCCAAACCTACGTGTTCACAAGAAATTCGTGCAGCCACTTTCTTTACCTTGGCCATCGTTACATGAATGCAAGAACCTGACTGCTTCAGCCTTCCCCCCCCAACCCTTTCAAAAATTATCACTGTCCAAATTATTTTAGCCTTCTGACTCCCTCATCCTTAATTGTCTATTACTTAATCAAATTGAACATTCATTTATTCCTGAATTACTCTTCATTTTTCCAAAAATTATGCATTGTACAATCCACTTGTTGTAACTATTTCTACCCTCTGATTGTTTTGTATTATTCTTCTTGATTAATTACCACCCGCCCTCCCCATGACATGGTGATACTGACTAATTATTGTTAACAAACCGACTGACACTGGAATGGCAGAATTTTTTCAATTGTATTAAAAATGCTACATAAATTAGTGTAGAGCCAGAGATGAGAATCTAATTGAAAAAAAGCATTTCTTCGCCCAATCATTTTGCCTTCTAAATGTCTCACAGAGGACTTTGTCTACACTCAATGTGATTATCATCGAGATTATAACCTAGGGGGTATCGAGGTGTGACAAGGGAGCATTAAAAGCCCACATACACACGTAAGGAAGGCGGAATCGAACCGATCCGATGCTAATCGACTACATGTTTGAAGCCTGCATCCTGGACCCCTGAGGGTCATCTTTACAGTTACCTATTCACCTACATTTAGCTATAACATTCACCTGCCTTTCTGTACAGTCAATATTTCCATTTGAAAACCTTCACAAAATAACACTTCATTCAAACACTTGGACACACACCATAGTCAGTAACAGCGCATACTCAAACTAACTATTACATGCACACTTAAATCTTCCTCATTTACTTGTGTAAAGCCGATTTTTTGACCAACCAGGGCTTCTCAGTAGTGTATCAACACTAGTGAACAAATTTGTGTTCATTCGTGTTCTGAGTGGAACATGAGACTTCAAGCTTTGAAGTCTAAGTAGAAAAATTGTTTTTCAGATCAGAGTTGCTTCGTTGCCTCACATTCAACCTTCCTTGTTTTCCAGGCTTATTATCCGGAGTGCATCAGTCATAAATCGAACCCTGACCAATCGTGTGGTTGGCGAGTGTTATATCACTGACATTATATGAAAACTGACAGAAATCAGGTAACCGTCAAGTTCTGATTCCTCAGTTTGTTTTATATCTGTGACTTTATATGGCCTAGAGAGAATATAAACTTACATTAGGCTACACTGGAGTGGAAATGCCACTTTAGTAGGCCAAACCACTAGCGAACTTGTACACCCTATTTTGTGATTCTGGGCCGGTTAGTAAAGGGGGGGGGAAGTAGCAAATGAAACAAATCATTCATGTCTTTCCGTGGATTTTTTCCTCTTTTATGAATGTTCTGGACTATAGAAGACAACTGTGAAGAACTAATCTTAACACCAAGGTATTATTTTCTTATCCGATATAATGTGAGGATTCGTAAATGTTATTACCATGTTCAGAGAAACGTATGTGACTAAATGAACTGGGAAGTGCAGAAAAAAATACGAGCGTTAATCTTATATGCTCAATAGCTTAGACTCGATGTAGAAATATTTAAATGATACAAAAGAAAAGCATCTTTAGTACTGTACAAGTTAACCTGTTATCTACATTTTATTTATGACACATCATTAACGCTAAAGACCAGTCTTATAATAGTGATAATTGTTGATAGCAACTCTCCTTATAGCTCGAGAAAGTCAGACGTCATATGAGTGAGAGCAGAGTTTAAGTTTATTTGTTTATTGAAAAACTAACTTAGTACACTATGGGGCACCAAAAGATGCGCAGCACAAAATCTTAGAGTTTGTGCTACGCTGGGATACTATCCGGACACCCCCACACCGAAGCAGCTGGTTGCCATCCCAAGACTTCGAGACGTGAAGTCTGATCCACAAGACAGTACAGCAGCATTCCGATTGTTGCTGGTGACCAAAACAGGTTCACACATACTATTCGATCCGTTCGGATTCTCGAGCCCTCGTGTACACCATATGTTTGGAATCAGAATTTTCCAGCCCCTCCCCCGTCCACTAGGTAGACCTGTGTGTCCACCAGTTCTGTTGTATACACTAAAATTTGGTACCCCAGGTGCGTGAAGGCGGTGGAATAGGACTTACATGGCAGAGGCTATTAAAACGAAAAACCGAAGTCTACTCCTTCCCCATTTGGCTATACCACGTTGTTTATGCAGGCAGAGTTTAAGTAACCAGAGAGGAATCCGTTCACTATAAATTACAGATAACTTATACTGATATATGCTAACACATACGAATCCCGAAAAAAGATGTCTGCTACACAGAAATAAACAACAATAAATGCAGAAGTGAAATATATTTAAGTATATACATTATACCAAACTGGCTGTAAAAGTCGTACAAATTAACTGTGTGTATGTGTTTTTCTTTTTTGGTAGGATATCAGAACTTATCGATTTCGCACACGTTCAAATTCGTAGATAGGTGGAGCTGTTTTACTTCCTTTGAAGACTGTTTTATATCCCCTTTTAGATGATGAATTAGCCTATTAAAATAAAATTCATTTGAGTAGAAACCTTATTTTTCATATAAGCAGATGACAAAAAAGTAGTTTTTTTAGGAAATCAAGATAATAAAACTTGATACCTCTATAGTCAATACGCCAATCTGCCGCTGTGCTGACACATTCAATAATTTAGCATAATCATGTTATATGTTGTTGTTTGATGACAGGAGACAGTTGGTAGAAAGTCCTGAGCCTAGATTTCATGCTTGCTGATACCCATCAGGGAGGCATATATCCGTAACTGTGAAGGAACTGACATCCCCTGTTTTGAGACTTACTTGAATCCGCGTTACCACCCAAAGGATGCAATAAGATGTCATCATTGAGCTGTTTGCACTCACGAATGACCTCCTTTCTGCAGTCACAGTCAATACAAACACTATCGACTATGACATGGGTTACACTCTAGTGATCACTCAGCATACAAGTTACTGGGTGGTGGACACATCCACTGGATAAAAGTATATCAATCTAAGTTGCTGTGCTGAATGCGTATAGAATGATGAGTACCGCGCATAACCTTTCAGCTGCAGTAGAATTTCACAGACGATGGGTTCATTAGTAGTAATACAGTGACCTACATACATTTGATGTGATCAATCTACACTTTATGTTTGAAGTTGCTTAACTGAAGGATTAACTATATATGATGAGTGATGCAAACAATGAAAACTACAGTTCTAACTAGAGAACTGAACAGCTTTTGAAGTAGGCTAACTACGAGTTACGATGTTATGCCTCTACACAATAATTGGCTACAACTACTCTGTAAATTTGATGGTGAATTTTAGTAATAAAAAATTTAGGCAAACGCCTAACTTACCATTAGATTATTTTTAGCCTCATGTTGTCGTAGAAGATACTTTAATTGCTTCGCTCTTTCTAAACGTTCAGCTAATTCTTTATAGGCATTACACCGTTGAGCATAGATATCATCAAAACGACACGGATCACTGGAAGATTCATCAGTCCCAACATCTTCATCCAGTTTGTGTAATCTATCTGCATACGAACGACGTAATTCTACCATTTCATCATAGGTTTCTGCAAAAACAATATGTTTAGGAGTTTTTCTTGATTTTTTTAATTCGCTTTGCAGTAGATTAGTTTTTGACTCTAGCTGACGTATCTTAGACATTTCCTTTTGCAATTCATATTGCAAGTGTGTAATATTCTTTGAAAAAGATGCTTTAATTTCATTGTCTGAATAACTTTTCTCCACATTTAAAGGGATATGTCCTTTTTCTGCCTAAACATCAGTAGGGTATAAACCCGGTGCTGTAAAAACAAAAAAAAACTTACATCGAAACGGGAATTACACATGTTGAAGTAGAATTCATCGGTATTTTTATTCAAAGCTTTACTTCTCAACTCTTTAATTTTAGCATTTTTCGACTCTTTATCCCTATAAGACAAATTTTTAAAATAGACACTTTATTCAAACCTAGCTCTAATTTGGAAATCTTTTTTCTTCGGTAAGAGTCCTAGATGTCGTCGGTGTTGAGGCTAAAATTTCAAGGAAAGTATAGTAGAATTTACTTGAGATCGTTCTTTGTGAATTCTTGCAAATCTCTTTTGAATATTTTTGAACGATGCAAAAGGCATTGTGGTGATACCAGATAGGCGGATTATTTCTCAGTAATATCGATATGTAGAGCAGCAACTGAACCAGTAGCGATCACTGCTAGCGATGGAATTTACAGCAAATTATCAACAGGCTGGAAGAGAAGATAATACACATTTGATATGCATACATACGAAAAAAAAGTTATAATTACTCAAGAACAGTCTTCTGTAAGGGGAAATGCAACATCTTTGCTAAGTGGAAATGCAGGTATATTAGGAGCAGGAATGCACTATAACACTTCTTGAATGGCTAGAATTATACACTACAAAGACTTGAGCTTACACGAATTTTATCCAAGAACAATATTGTGAAGAAAAAAACCGAGGGACATTATCACGAAAACACGCAACCACACTTATCATGCGCATTCAAGATAGTGTTTCTCGTTTAACATCACATTCAGAAAGACAAGGGAGCGGGAAATCGCCGTATGTTCACCACTGATTTCGACTCTCAATCATATCTGATAATATTTCAAGGCAGAGATTCAGGACCCCGCCTAAGGAGTCGTGATACACAAACAGATACTAACCCAGAAAAAATAGCTTTTATCTCATGATGCCACGTTATAGTGACAATCTTTCTTCGTTGTCCAACTACTGCTGAGGTGATTTTTGTGGAAAATAACTGCACCATCCAAGCCGATTTCATAAAGCTCTCCAGCACCTCTCTGCAATGATGATGTAACGTTATGGAGGGTCGTGAGAAGCGATGAAGACCGGCCTAGGCTTCAGTTAAACCTGACTAACCTGGAGAATTGGGCCACAGCAAACGGACTAGAATTCCGTATTAACGAACACCGGGTAATGTTCAGTAGAGGAAAGACTATCCTACAGTTTATGTAAACCGACCCTACACAGAGGCAGAGCATGACTTTGAGCTACTCCCAGTGGAAAAACTGAACACAAGCACTAACTACGCATGTGACGAAGCCAAACCTCTCTAGTTCGTGCTCAGATAGTTAGGTGTATTTACACCTGAGCCATTCACGCATTTGTAAAAATATATGAACTCTTACAACGTCATTAAACCATCACTTCTAAATGTTGTAAGCGTTCATATGCTTCGTGCAAATGTGTGAATAGCTATGGTGTAAATTTGAGGCAAGACAAAGCCACAGGACTGGATTACATTGACTCCTAGCTTAAAGATAGGGAGTGAAGTGGTAGAGCATGTTGACCACCTAACTTATTTGCGGAGTTGCATCAGCCAACGCCAGAGGGTTGATCGCTGACGAAATCTCAACATGGACGCAAAAGGCTCGTTTGGCATTAGCCAACTTACGCCATCTCTGGCGCAGACGCGATATCTGGCTGTCGAATAAAGGGCGTATGTACTACACAGCAAAGCAGTTCGCTCAGTCCTCCTTTATAGTTGTGAGACACGGCCATTGAAAGTGAAAGATACAAAAAGGCTAGCTAGCTGTCTTTGATCGTAGGTGCCTGCGTCCTATCTCTCATGTGAAGTCGTATAATAAGGTGAGCAATATTTAGGTTAGGCGTCAGTCAAGTGCTAGGTAGGTGGGAGGAGAAATCAATCGACGAGGTTGTGTAGTTACATCGATTGAGATAGTTAGGGCATGAGTTACTTAAGCCTAGCCAGTACTGGTTCTCCTATCGAGTCATCAACTCTTAGAACTGACCCTTAGAGGTGGTATCTGAGGCCTCAGACTGTTAGGCCAATAACACAATTGATACTTAATGAAAAAAGGATTAACATAGTCTACCAAGCTAGGTTTTGTTAATGAAGCTTGAAGCATCCTATTGAAGTGAATCTGATTCTATGCAAAAGAAGCAAGCGTTAAGAATCCAAAACTTTTTAAGGCTTTTGTGAAACCACAGCGATATCGAAATGATCAGCGAATAATAATTACATAAAACATGGGTGAAGTTAAAGTATCATAGCCAAAGCCAACGTCCTAAATGATTTGACCCTCAAGAACGATGTTTTATACAAGCTTACCACAAAGACACTGGTACTTAATCGAAATCTGTCGAATTTATGGCCAGAGTTTACTCTTGCCGAATAAAGATTAACGACGTTAGCCGTTTTTCATAAAACGAAAAAGGGTCAACTTGCTGAAATGCAAAACACTATCGTGACAACCACTAACCTGAAGGTCACTTGTTCGTTATGTGATTGGTTGATTTATGTTGTGTAAAACTAAACGCCGGTACTTATGACCATTGAAATGTCAATTCTTTTGGTACTTAAGTTTTCCGTCAGAATAAGCTCTTGGTTATGGTCACGCGAGAAAAGCTAAATTCGTATAGGCTGCTGGGTGATACTAAGCTATAGCAGCCCAAAACGTAGCTACCTCTAGCAACCAATCACGTTCATAAGAAGTTGAAGTGTGCATTTTGAAATAAACGTCTATATACAAGTAATGCTACGTCAAAAAATGGTTAGATACGATACTATTCTGATATATATTTTCCAAAAAATCACCAATTTTCTCACAGAAGTCCTCATAGTCAGGTTAAACCAATTTTTGTAAATAAATTTGTCAAGGTCATCAATTCGTTCATTAGGTACTTTCTTTTTAGGCTGCGATAGTTTAGAGTCACCGGCTGCCAGTCTCCGCATTCACTATTAGAATTCTGAATGGGGCTGCTTTATAATTTTTGAGATTGGAACGCAGTCCTTTGATCCATGCTAACTCTTCCAGTGTTCCAAGGTCCACCTGAGTCCTTCCAAGTGTTATTATTCTTGAAAAAAATTACATTGCTGATGAAAAGAGCAGAGCAGCTCAGACTACATGGAAGACTATTGAGGAATATCGAGAAAATTAAGAGACCCAGCTATGACACGATAAATGGGTGGGATTGAACACTGTGCAAATCCTATCTGATCAATGTAAACTAGTTGGCTGATTTTGTGGTGGAAAAGTCCATCAAACGGCATCAAATCAAGGGCACCAAGGATCATGTGTTGTGCTTCAAGTAGTTTCCCTGAATTGTCTTCAACCAGGTTTTGTAATTCTTCGACACCACCTAAGGTCTATGAAGTATGGTCTACAGAGTATGTCCTGAAACAAAAAAGGTAGCGCAGCTGTTTACCATACCTTGTCGAGTTCCTTTCAGTCAATTGGATGCTGGAACAAGTAACATAAGGTGCAAGAAGCGGCCACCTAACAAAACTTTAAAACGAACGCCTGACCTCCAAAAGCCCACCTTGGTTAATTTTCTGCAGTTTATCCAGTGACATCGAATCTCTGCTAATGTAATCTGCTTCACATGAGTGTGATAGGTGGATGTCACCCAAACGATAGTCGATGACAGCTGAATTGTAATGTTCAATTCTGTCGATATTTTACGTTCCAAAATCAAGGCCCCTATCGTTAAACTAGAGGATGTGAATATTAACTCTGACTGAGTAGTGTCTGCCACTTTGTTTCTACTCATTTCAGTGTGAAGGCATGCTTAAGTAACAGCTGAAGAGAAACAACAAGGAAGTTACCAAACAGAACAAATGACAGGCAAAGAAGTAGATTTGCATGTGGAGGCTACCGAATTGAGGTTATTTAGCTCTACGGCAGTCGTGTAGCCTATGGGGTACTAACTATGATTCCGATTATGATTCTTATCCAGCACAGCCACATTTGCACGTTCTACAATGGTCTGACTCTGTGCATTGTTAAATACTAACAACTTTGTGTCAAGAAACACAAGAGAAAACTGGAAAAGCTGTACTGTTTACGAAATCAAATTTCGAAGATTGCGAGAAGGGCGTAAACATGTAAAAAAATGTGTAACAAACGAAGAGCGATGTGCAGCAACACGATGTCAAATATTCGACAAGCATATGTGAAATTAGCTTCTGTAAACGTTTAATATGTATGAATGAATTGGTTTTATAAGCGTACATTCAGAGTTAATATAGGGGCGCTGCATGATTCCCCCACCACAACACTGAAATATGAAATACATTCAAGTAATCGAAAATAAAATGTTTTAGCATAATAAATAGTGACTACACTGCATAGAAAACTGTGTGTATTACGCTGGAAAACATGCAATTTAACCTAGAATTGAGAAAAACGGATGGCAAGTTGATAATATTGATAATAAATGCGCTGCGGACAATAGAAATGATAATTATAATAGAAGATATATGGAATGATGAAAATCAGCTGGGGATCCGCAGTCTTTAGATGAAAACGATGTTTGAATAGTAAACATTACATGATTACATGTAATAGTGCAAAATTGTTAATGTTTAAATAGTAGCCATGTGAACTACGTATGAAAATATCGATGACGTTTGTGGGAAGTTGTATGGCTATTTCGTACAAAGACAGTAAAAAGGAAAATGTACAATAGCTTCGATAGCAATGATCTGGAAGCAGCGTTCAGGCCAATAAACTCCAAACCAAGTCTCATTAATGCCACAGGTTTCCCTGGCGAAGTTAAAGTTTTAATAGGTTTGATTTTGGCACGTTGTTTAGTTGGCTTTATCTCTGTCTTGGATATCGCCTATAAACGCTGATTTGACTCCATCAATATTGATGGCTTTTGCCTTATTCAATCATTCCGCGCTACGAATTTGGCATTCCTCTCCAGGATTCATAATGAACCATCGTAGGCAGGTTGAAATGGTCTCTCTTTGCTATTCATCCTGACGAAAACGTGAGTGCAGTGTGTTAGTGGTCCGCTTAAACCTTGAGCTGCAAAAATTTTCTATAATTCATACTGCATCTGATTACTCGGATTTGTTTTGTTTTAACTGTTCAATTATTTGTCCTAACAGTATTGCCTACTCTCGTGATTTTTTGAGATGTTTCCAGCCGGATGATTCACGAGTTTCCAATAAACTCAGGGAAAAGCACCATGGTGGGTGGCAACTACCCTTAAGGTCTACTCCAATGCATCACATGACTGTTCCTGTGATTATGAGCACAAATTGCAGGTAATTTTCGAACAAAGTTAATCACTCGGATGCTCTATTATTTTCAAATATTTATCTTAACACAGGCGTAGTAACGCTTCAAGAAACTTGGCTTCACAATTCGTACGATGACAAGTTAATCTCCTTAATGGTTTCACTATGTAAATACAAGACCGAAGTCGTTTGGGGATGAAGCGAGGTGCTGGTTTTGCCACTTTTATAAGTTATTATTATTATATATTTATTTCCTGTTTATGCAGGAACATACCAATTGTACAGGCATGGATAATTTATTATATAAATTACAGTTTGTTTGTTCAATCTAACATTAGAGTGAGTCAGAACAGTCTGCAAAATAGTCTGTCTGTGTAACACATAAAGAGATATAGAAATATTGTCTTTGCATTAACAAAAAACCCAGACTTCATATGACTGTAATACAAATATCTGGGAAAAATAAAGCTTGAAGTCAATTCTCCTATAAAACTTTGTCGTGAACAGCATCCGTGAGATAAAGTTTATTGATGTATTATTTTGAGTCAACAATGTATTTATTCCATTTTTTCACCAGTCTAATCGTAGGTTTATAATAGGAAAGAAATTTGATCTTTGATACGAAAATTAGATAAGGTAATGTTAGATTGTTTTACTGCATCAAATGGGGTCAATTCTAGAACTATCCATTTGCGCCATTTGCGTCAGCATGGCAGACTGTACATGTAAGTTGAGTAATACATTGAAAACGGTTTGAAAACCAGTTGTTTCTTTATATCAGATGAAGAATACTCCTTGTACAGAATGTTAGCCAGCGTTTTCAAGTGGTTGCATCGGATCATTCATGGAATTTGAGTTTGAATTTACTTAAATGGTCATTTCAGTTGGGTTGTTCGACCTCGACCAGGAGGTATAAAGAAGATTACGCTCAGCAGGGAGATAAAGTATGTAAATAAAGGTCTGTTGCCGACAACGTCTGCTTTAAATTCTTGGATGATATTAATCATTGTATAACTGTCAAATGTTGACCTAAACACTTATCTAAATAAAACTTCATTTTTATCACGAAAATTTGTGCCACACCTTGTTGTGGTACTTCAAAACTATCCATATTTGCTGATGAATTCACTATTTTCGCAGTCGCTCCTTTCAGTAACTCAGTGTCTTGTGACTGCAGTTTTCTTACAGAGCTAGGTCATGGAAATGTCGTCATTTTTCCCACCTGATTGGATACTTCGCTCGATCTTGTCTTTATAAATCATTTCGGATCATACGAAACTCGTAAAAGAGCCCCACTGTTCAACTGCGATCATTGTATTATACGGATTTTACGCAGAATGCATGGAAAGTTTCACAAAAGAACCTTTCCACACCTTTCCAAGAAGACTGGACACAGTTGTTACTCTAAGGAGAATGTCAAGAAGCTTAAGAGCGTGCTCAAAGGTATAAGGTGGGACTTGTATTATGCTGAGAATTCCATTCTGTATCACATGTACTGTTTTGGAATGAAGCAAATTATTATTATGTGTATCTCAAGTTTCGTCCTGACACCTGTTGTTCCAGAGAAACAATCTTCATCAGATTTGACCGTTTCTCCTCCTCCTAACTTGAGAAACTTCGCAGGGAAAAGGAAAATTATGTAAAATGAAGGATGACATTTGTATGAGAAAGTTAACATCCTAACCAAGTCTAAAATTCAAAGGCTGAATTCAATTTATGAGCAGTTTATATCCTGTAAAAATTACTGATGGTAAGCTGATACCAGTATTACTAAACACTAAGCAAGTCTTTCATACATTCTTCAACAAGTGCTAAACTTTCTAGTGTCTCAAGTGTTAATGAAACCTGCTTCCCTGGTTTCAATACAAATGACGTTCTAAAATGTCACTAGTACCATAGGTACAGATGGTTTGCCTGGCCTTATTCTTAGAAAATACGCATATATCCTGTGTTATCCTCTCATGGACATATTTAATGAATCTTTTTCCAGAAATGTTGTGTCAGCCGTTCGAAAGGACATTAAAATTGTACCTATACGTAAGTCATCTACTGAAACATGTATTAAATTTAAACCTATTTCTCTTACCTCCCCTTTTCTAAAAACTATGGGAAAGTTACGACACATTAGTGTGACGATAAGTCGTGACTCTGTGACAAAACAAACAATTTTGCTTCCACTTCTTAGCATTCCTGTTAATGCTTGGCCACCTAAATCTTTCTTTCAACAGCTTGGTAGTAGCACTGACTCCAGGGTGTGACAGATTAGGCAGTTTCTCAAAAATTGTGCGTATCATAGCCGCTGGAACAAAACGTTGACATTTACCGGTAGAGATTTCACAGATTACTTTCGTTGTGCCGAAATGAATTTCAGTGAATTCTAAGAGTGTCGTTTAAGAAGACATAATCTTCTTTGGTTCAACATTATTTCTTTGTGAAGCTGAAATTTTCGTGATCGATATCA